GACGCGCTACGGAGGGCCACTATCTGGCCTTCAAGGTGGGAATTAGCCATAAGGGTTCGGTCGAGTAAGCCGTTAATGGTGGAAAGCGCGGTCAGGATTAGTTTATTTGTGCTGGGACTTACCGTGTTCCCTGCTTCACACAGATGCTCCACCACGGTCTTCTGCACCTGTTCGGTCTTCTCCTTCAGTCCCATGGTGGTTAAGGGGCTGACATCGGGCATCACGGACTTCGTTGTTGTCCTGCTCGCTGCTTTGCGCGGTTCCGCAGCCTCGGGCTGCACTTTCTTCTTCGCCGGTACGGGGAGGTGTTCTACGAGCAACGGCGTGTCTTGAGACTCGTTCGGGATCACGTGTGCCTCCACCAAGACTTCAACGCCGTCGATTGACAGGGGTGCCGTGAACACGCCAATGGGATTCACGAACCCTGCTCCGTACCCTACCAATGGTCTCAGCTGCGTTCGCCGGTATTGGATCCCTAGCTTGTCCGCTGCATTTTGCCGTACTGCCACTGCACTGCTTCCAAGGTCGACGTAGCATCTCGTCGGTTTCCCAGCAAAAATTGCATCTTTAAAATATTTAAATTTAGTCCACTCCTTCCAGCTTAGCTTCCTTCGCGGCAAACTATCACGCCAAAGTCTGGCCATACCCGTTAATTTCGAAAGTCCGTAATGTTTAATAGCAACTTCGTCCCACAAGTACAGATCACCGTACTCCTCGACTTTATGTATTCAACGGTTTATATCGATATCGTTTTTGACTGGATTAAATTCCGGTAACATCCCGTCGATATTTTGAAAGTATCGCATTCCGGTCCAGCCACTATACGAGGGATCGACCATAATTTCGGTACGTTGCTCGTTTGAAACACCGCCATGTTCGCCACGTGGTTGTACGTTATCGTGCGACATCCTCGTCCCGAATTTTCCCCGTTCGATTTCTCAGTTCGCAACAGTATCCGCGACTCGCGCCTGCTCGAACCCTCGAACTATTAAATTTGCGAGAATTATCCCGTCGCTCCGACATTCCGCGCTACAACGCTCAACAATCCGCACTCAACGGTAGTCTCACCATGTGGTTCACGTTTTCACTCACGTTCCCAACGAACCACTATTTTTCACAAATACTGGTATACGCTCACCGTACTCGAATTATCCCACTTCTGAGATTGTTGCATTAAGGTCTTTACAACTCTTTTCTTCAATTTGTTAAATAACTTTTATTAACTTGCGTCTCTCTCACTAACCATTCGCCATTCGTCGTTCGTTCGTTTGTTCGTTGCGGTTCGCGGATCCTCTTTATATATACATGCATTCTCTCTCTCTCTCTCTTATCCACACTCATCTCATTCGCTCGGCCATACACTCACTCAGTCGCGCTAATTTTGAACGGTTCTACATCAGTAATTTGCTACCTTTATTTAATTCAATAACCGTTGTCAAACATCGTAGTTCCTGATAGAACTCTTTTTCTTGTGTAGCGAGGTAATTTATTTTGAGTTTTCCGAAGTACACTTTCTCATGTCCCGCCGAGGCTGTGGGAGTCTGGCTACGGTCAGTTCACGCATCTGGCAGCCAGATTCGCACGAGCCAGGGTTTTTTCACTTTGTCGACCGCGTGTTTTCAATTCATATACCGAACTCGGGCAGTTCCTTCCGCGCCACTATTCAAAGAAGTGTTATCGAGAGACCGCGATTTCTCGTTCGCTAGTGCGTCGCGCTCTCCCCACACGAACCACCTCAAACTGGTGACCCCGACGTGATCGCGTAGTCGCGGAAGTGAACGCGTATAAAAACCGAAGGCGTACCAACTATGCCAAACCGTGAAGCAAATACCATTGCACCCCTGGCAGCCGCGCCCACCTCAGGAACCGAATGAGTCGGCGTTCGGATCCCCGAATTCACGCCCGACGATTCAGGCGAGCTATGTCACGGGCGCCCTCGGACCGCGGTACATCGCGGAGGTACGCGACGTCTTCCTGAACCCTCCGGACACCGGCTTTCTCGAAACACTAAAAACGGAGCTCATCCAGCGCTTGAGCGTGTCCCAAGAGTAGAAGGCCCGGAGGCTGCTTGAGCATGAAAAAATCGGCGACCGCCGACACCTGCGAGCCCTGGCCGGGACTTGTGTATTCGAACCGCTCCTGCGTACCCTATGGTTGGGTCGATTACCGACGAACGTCCAGACGATACTCGCCACCCAAAAGGATACCACCCTGGACAAGGTGGCCGAGTTGGCGGACGCCATCGTTAGAACCATGCCAGCACGTCCATCCATCGCGGAAGCTACGCAACCAGTCGCACCAAGCCCGATGGACTCGGTTATGGAGCGGATGATGAACATGCTCATCACCATGCAGGAGCAGACAGAGCTGATGAGGGACCAGAATCATGTTGGAACCGATCCCGTAATGCCAGCGGAGTGTGCTGGTATCACGAGCGACACGGCCGCAATGCTCGCCGATGTACACAGCCGTGTACGTTCGCCTCACCGACGGGAAACGCGACGGGCCCAACGTTTTTCCGTCTGTTCATCCGCGATCAACGGACAAACACACAGTTCCTGGTCGATATCGGGGCCGACCTGTGTGTTTTCCCCAGGAGCCTGACCCGCGACCCGGTCGCGAAAACCGGGTACACACTGACCGCGGCAAACGGCACGTCGATCGCGACTTACGGGACGAAGACCCTGACACTCAACTTGGGTCTCCGCCGCGACTTCGCTTGGAGGTTCGTGGTGGTCGACGTGTCCAAGCCGATTATCGGGGCGGACTTTCTTGCACACTTCGGCCTCCTCGTGGACATCCGGAACCAGCAACTCCTCGACTGGACAACGACCCTCACGACCAAGGGCGCGCCGGTTCAGCAGTCCTCCCCGTCCATCAAAACGATCCACGGAGGCTCGGTGTACCATGGATTGCTGCAACGGTACGCGGACATCACAAGGCCAAGCGGAACGCCCATCACCATCGTGCACGACATCCGCCACTTCATACGAACTGCACCGGGGCCATCCATCGCTTGCAGGCTACGGCGGCTTGCACCGTACCGGCTCCAGATCGCCAAAAAGGAATTTGACGTAATGGTTCAACTCGGTATTGCACGTCCGTCCCAGAGTAGTTGGGCTTCACCCCTACATCTGGTGCCGAAAAAGGGCAGTGACTCTTGGCGACCGTACGGCGATTATCGTGCGCTTGAGGGGGGAAATACCTTTAGACGGATGAAAACGAGCTTATCTTTATTAATTTTTTTGTGAAGGAAAGGATTGTTTTACATTTTTGAAACTTTGGTTATCATTTATTATATTCTTTCTCTATTACAACGTATTTTTTGTTTTTCAAAATATTCAAAAATGGCGAAGTTATGTCCCTTTTCTCCGGAAGGTTGTGGTGCGGCTTATTAAATGGTGTAAGCTCTAGTTTTGGCTACATTGATTTGAAACAAACCAGCAAGACATATTTCGATAACTAACACTTACAGTTTGTAGGTGAACCTACAGAAAGTGAAAAATATTGAAAATTGAAAATATGACACGCTTTGAAACAGAAACTTTGAATTTTACATGAAATTTTCGCTATATTTTGCAATAAAAAAGTACTTGTATTTACAATATATTTCATATCTCTAGGTTCATATAGAAGACAATATTGTTATAGATATGTGTGCAAAATTTTAGCAAGATCGATTGAGTAGTTTTTGAGTTATTGATTCCACCGATTTCGAAAATGTAGTTTTGAGATAAACACGTTCAAAGTTTCAATAGGTGATAACTCAATAATTTTAATGACTTATCAGCTAGTCTGCGATTCCTGCGCCATACAATATTCCTTCTGTTTCCTCATAGAGCTGACTTTCCTCCATACGTTGCTCTCTTCATGCTTTTCGAGCCTCTTTGGTAGTTAATGAGGTGCGTCGCTCCTGTCGAATTATTCTCTGTTCGTCGATTTTGTCGGCGTATGTTTTTGCTTGTTTTCCAATTACAATATTCAAAG